TTTTATTAATAGATAATAAAGATATAATTAATTAATTTTTATCATAAATTTTTTTATATCTTTATAATTTTATGTTTATGGATATGGAATTAAAATTTTATGTATTTTTTATTTTCATAAAATAAAAATTATGAATATTCAATTTTAATTTTTAAAATAAATTAAGTTTTAAAATAACTTTAAAAATTGAAATCAAATTCAAAATTTAATTCTTTTTTGAAATTTAGAATATTTATTGTATATGAATTTTTTTTATTAAAAATCAAAATATTTACGTTTTATTTTATATATTATAAATTATAAGAATAATTATAATAAAATAAATAATTATTATAATATTAGATTTTTTATCATATATTTTTTTAATTTTGATTAAGATTTTTTTCTTATATATATATATATATATATATATATATATATATAAAAACACATACATATATAATTCATTATTTATAAAATATTTTTTTGAAGGTTTCTTGAATTTTGTGGTGTGTGTACAAGTAAATTTTGGATAATGTATTGGTATACTAGTTATAAATGTGTGTGCAAATTTTGAGATCAATTAAATAATTAGATCGAAGTGTATGAAGGTTTTTATGGATTGAGGTCTTAAAAATTGGAGTTTGAGGGTTTGTGAGTATTTCTAAAATTTTCAGTGATTTATCAATTGGATTGAAGTAAAAAAAACATTATATGAATACTAGACTTGATTAACATGATTTTAGGTGAAATTTGAAAGCAATTCAACCATTCAAGAAGGAAATATTGGCACTTGAAGTTCAGCATTCAAATTGGAGTAGGAAGCCACCTAATATCTAATTGGATTATCTTACATTTCTCTCGATTATTAAGTTCTATTCATTTCATCTTTCTTATGCAGGTTTCTAAGTAAGACATTAAAATGTATTCAAATTTTGAATTGATGTCAACAATTTGATCAATAGTTGTTGAGATTCTATTTTGCTATAGGATTTGTTAAGAACTTGTTTAAGATCCAAGATTTGATTAGGATTTAGTTTGAGATTTGGTCTAAGATTTGGTTAGGATTAGGATATGCCTAGGATTTGGTTCAGAACTTATCTAAGATTTATCTAGGATTTAGGAATTTATTAGGATTTCATTAGGATTTGACCTAGAATTTGATTAAGATTTAATTAAGATTTCAATTAGAATTTGATTTAGGATTTGATTTAGGATTTTGTTAAGATTTAATTAAAGTTTTAATTAGGATTATATTAGGATTTTGACTTATAATATTTTTAAAGAATATTTATATTTCTTTTATGACTTCTTTTAAATTTATTTCAGTGAGTTAAAGTTTGATTTGGTTATTAGGGATAACTTAAAGTTTATTTAAGGCTCTATTAGACTTGGTAGGATTGTTGTTACATTGTTATTTATCTTCCATAGCTAGGTGCCTAATGTCATGTGATAACACAATTATATAGTAAAAAATAAAAATATGGATATTATTATAAAAGAACCTAGTAGAAAGATGTAATAAAAAAATAGGATACATGATAGAAAGGAAGTAAAAGATTTGGTCTTAATGTTGTCTTTTTAAGGAAGGTACTTCTATTTATTTTGTAAAAGCATAAATGATCCAAATCAAGGAAATAAAATTAAAAAAATAATATAGTCATGTGTAGGCAAGAATTAAGAGTATATTTTAGCAAATTGTTTTTCAAGAAACCAAGAATTGATATCTAGAAAGGACCAATTGTCAACCTAAGTCGAAATCAGATCTTGAGGCACAAAATTACACACCCATAGTGACTTTAAAGTTCTTTGGTAGATTGGAGAGCAAGATTTGACACCAAACTTGAGAAAAGATTTTTGGGCATTAGTTTTATATCAATTGAGTCTATATTGAGTTTTTGAGGGATTTTCAAAGTTAGTGATGTTCTTGGTTGGTTTAGATTTTGAGAAATAAAAATATGTTTATAAATTTGAGGGTTTCATGAGTTCTATGGTATTTATACAAGTGAACTTGGAAAAAGTATTGATGTACTAGTTGTAAATGTATGTGCAAATTTTGAAGTCAATCATATTATTAGATCAAAGTGTGTGAAGGTTTTTGTGGGTTGAGGTCTCAAAAATTGGAGTTTGAAGGTCAATGTGTATTTTTAAGTTATTCAACAACATGTCAATTGTATTAAAGTTTAAATTTTTTTTGTTGATATTAGACTCGACTTCCAATATTTTAGATGAAATTTGAGAGCAATTCAATAGTTCAAGAAGGAGATATTGGCATTGGAAGTTTAGTATTCAGATTGGAGTAGGAGGTTGTATAACACCTAATTAGATTATCTTATATTTCTCTCAATTAATAAGTGCAATTGATTTCAACTTTCTTATATTTGTTTTTAACTAGGATATTAAGAAGTGTGCAAATTTTGAGTTGATATTAAAGATTTAATTATTAGATGTTGAGATTCCAACTTGCTATAGGATTTGGTTTAAGGTTTGTCTACGATTTGGTTAGGACTTAGGATTTGGTTTAAGATTTAATTTTGGATTTGTTTAGAATTAAGATTTCCTTGGGATTTGGTTTAAAACTTGACTAGAGGTTGATTAAGGTTTGTTTAAGATTTATTTAGGATTTAGGACTTTATTAGGATTTCATTGGAATTTGACATACGATTTGGTTAAGGTTCACTTAGGATTTTAATTAAGATTTGACCTAAAGTTTGGTTAAGATTTAATTAAGGTTTCAATTAGAATTACATTAGGATTTTTATTTTTAATATATTTTTAGAATTCTTTATTATTTCTTTAATGGTTTTATTTTTAATATATTTTTATAATTATTGTTATTTTTTTAAAATTTTTTTTTATATTTTTGTAAAAAAATTATTATTTTTCTATGAAATTAGTTTGGGACTTCTTTGTGTTTCTTTTATAACTTCTTTTAAATTTATTTTGGATTGGTTGAGGTTCAATGAAGATTATTAAAGTCTACTTAAGCTAATTTAAGTTTCTATTAGATTTGGTAGAATTGTTCTTGCATTCCTACTTACCTTCTATTGCTAGGCACCACATGCGTCCTCAAGCAAGAACACACGTAATACAACACTAGTGCATTTTCAAGCAAGAATACATGTAATATGACAATAGCATCTATCTAGAATCAACCATGTTCTTTTAAAGACAATCCCAGCAAGGCTAGAATCCTACAAGGCCAAAGATCCAACATCATTCAAAGTCCTTACAAATGCATGTCTATTTATCAATTAGTCAAGGAATCAATCAATAGATAGAAAAATCTATAAATCTAGCAATGGATGGCATTTTCAAGGTTCTAAGATACAAATTTGCCTTTGCAATGACCAAACTATTCAAAGTCGAGGAAGCTCCAATGATGCTGCTCTCCCTCCTTTGGATAGGCCTTTCTTTTATGTACATTGAGAGTGCCCATCAAATAGATGAATAATTTTGTGTATTTATTCTTTAGGTGAATGTTCATTGAATGACTTATGGTAGATAAACGAACATCTTTGGTGATTAAAATCACCATTAAACCATTGAAAATAATTTTGTGCTAATTAAAAATTTTATTTGCTAAAAGACAAGATAAGAAAGTTTGGTTATAAGTCAAAAAGTTGAAGAAGTCTTTTAATTGACCAATTGCTTGAGACAAAAAAGTTTTCTTATTAGCTATATTGTCTTTTTATAATGTAAAAATTAATATTATCCTTTTGTAATGTAATTTTTTAAAATACAATCAAGATTTTTTATTTAAAAATATTAAATTCCAAAAAAATCACAACAAATGTAGTTTATTCTAAAACCCTATTAAATTAATTATTTTAGCTATTGAAATAAATAAAATTTATCTTTGCCAATAACACTAAAGAAATGTAAATGGTTCCATTGTTATTTGATTTGATTTTTGATTTTTGATTTTTTTCTAAAGAATTCTTTTAATTTAGCTATTAAGGTGTTGTTGAAATTAAGAATTATATTAATCAATAATACTGAAGGAATATAAATAATTCCCTTATTGTACATATGCTATTTTTTCTTTTCTTTTCTTTTCTTTTTCTTGGTCAATATTTCTTTAAGAGTGGTTGATTTTCAACTTAACAACCACAATTTAAAATTTGCAACTTTTTTGTGCCCAATGCCACAAGTTTCTACTAGTATATATATATATATATATATATATCTATATATACACACACACCCCACCAATTCCATAATCATCTCAATTTTAAAATTCAAGATAACATTTCCTTGTTTTAGTTTCTTCTTTGTTCTTGAACTAAAGATCTGTTATGATAAACCTTGCACATTTAAATCTTCCATGAACACCATGGTGCACACTCACTATTCAAATCACCTCATTCTCACTCTTACAAATTCACACATGCATGCATTCATCTGTACACACACATGCATTTATTCATTGATTTACACATGCATGCATTCATCTGTACACACCCCTGCATGCTAAAGGAATCCAATACCACCAAACAAACAAACAAAGCGGGTAACACTGCAAGCACTTCGAGAGAGGCGCCATGAAAACACCCACCTTGCACAGCATTTCGTGGACACTTGCACCGATCCCCCCAGGAAAGGGGGAGAGGGGGGGGGGGCACCCAAAACCGCCACATTTACCGGGTGTCGGCACTGTGTCGGCCGCCCATCACACACTCACACACAAACAGTCACAATACAGACATGAACGGACGCTGCAAGGGCAACGGAAGCCCGAGCCCAAGAATGACAAGCTCAGCAACCACACCCCTCCCCAACAGCCCTGAACGCAACAAAGCCAAAACATAAAAGAGGCCTGACAAATAGCAGAGCATTGAATACAACTACAAAACAAATTACAGAGAGCGAGAGCGAGAGAGATGTTTCGGAACCTTCAAAGTCCAGGATGGGAACAGGTCCCCCAGGAAGTGAGCGGGGGTTCCCAAGCGGAGTTCCCGAGTTCCCTAGGGATAGCAAAGGGAGGAAGCATGAGCAGCAGGAGCAGCAGCAGCGCAAGGGGAATAGGGAGCGTGATGTCGTCGTCGTCGAATTAGCGGCGAGCACATCGGCGATGCTGGTGTTCGCGGATTTTGCTTGCTCGGTCGGATTTCAAATCCGGAGGAGGATGGATATGTGTTGAGAGGCGCAGGATCATCGTCGTCTTTCTGCCTTGCCTTCCGCTGCTGCCCACGCTTTCGCACGCCCCACCCCCACCTCGCCATTCCCAAGGACAAGTCTTGCAGCACCGATTTTGCCCAATTTTTGGCCTCCGTTGTTAGCTGTTGCCTCGAGCTGGCCAGTTAGCTCGGTGACGCGGAGATTCGGTAGGTTTTTTTTTTTGTGTTTGTGTTCGTTTTAGATTTGAGGTTGGTGGGTGATGGGATTAGAGGCCGTGGAGGTGGACTGGTGGAGGCGGACTGGCGTTGTGGCTTTAGTGGAGGTGGGCATGGTTCCTGTGTGGGCTGAATGAAGCAAGCGCGGCTTTCTGTTTCGGTGAGTGGATTCTGCGGATGCCTGTCTTCTAGTTCCCGGTGAATTTTGTGTTTCAGCGAGGTGGTTCGTGGCGAAAAGCTTGTAGATTTCTGTCCATGTTTGTGGGTTTTCCAGAGCTTTTGGTTCATGCCGCGGACAGGTTTGGGCGGAGAAATGGTAGGTTGTTGAGGGGCACGAAATGTTGGAGTTGAAAACGGAATTGAGTCTTGTTTCGATTGTGGAGGAACTGTGCAATTGCTGCCGGTTGGCTCCACGCGTAGTGGATTTTGGCTAGAATGTTGTGGTTATGCTTCTTCCTAACTTTTTGAACGAGGAATTGGGTGGCAATCTTGTTGTTTTCCTTCTCCTGTTAGATTGAGTGGGTTATTGTCTGGAGCGATGAATTTTTTGGATGATGTATACGAAGAATTATTAGTTGAATGGAAATTCGAGCATGAATTGACGATAATGATGACAAATCAGAGGAGCTGCACCGCAATTAGTGTCGACTAGCTTTCTCTTTTCCCGTGTGATAACCCCTCAATGGGATGGAACTATCTTTCCTGCGAATCTGATAACAGAGTTTGATTCAATTCTGCAGGAACACGCCTCTGGAGAATCACCACTCGATTGATATGACCATCACACAATGAGGTCTATGCCTGTGGAAACTGAAAATTTGTGGCTTAGGGGACTGAGTGGGAATGAGCTGGGCTTTTGATCTGCCCCTTCCGTGGTGAGTGAGCAACGGACAATGGCAACAGCAGTGTACAACATTGTTCTCGGTTTACCTCAGACGGATGTCCCCCGCAGAGCCTGTGGAGTGAGGTGGGACAGAAATCACAGCCATGGCAGGGGCTCCTCTACTTGGCTTCGGCGGCTGGAGCGTGGATTTATGTCCTGTAATGCAAATAAAATTGGGTCACCACCGCCAAAGGCAAGATGGCCAGTGGACGCTATCTCAAACGAGGCATTGTCGGCTGAATGGACGCCGTCTCTTTCCATCGAAGAAGTTGTCCAGCTCCAAGCACAGGAGGAGGAATCTCGACTCTTTCGCAATGGGCCGCCGCCGGGAGATCTCGCGGAGGTGGAAGCGTACTGTCGCATTCACAGGTTGGCGGAAGTCTTGCACGCGGCTGTGATGTCCTCGTTACGTACTTTGACATTGGTGCAGGCTGGCTATGCAAATGACAGGGATATCCCTGTTCTAGAGGAAAAAGTTGTTGCTGGGCTTGCTCGCATAGGGGCCATCTTGCAGCAGGGCCGTCTGGAGGTCGTTGGAAGCCGACAGTTCGTCAACATGGTGAATTCTCCTGGATTTGTTCCTCCGCTGGCACGGTTGCGGGCGGAGCTTAAGGAGTCGTGTGAATCACTTCAAAAGGCACTCGAAACATGTCTATATCCCTCTCTCATTCCTGAAAGCATTTACAGGCCGCTACAACGCCTACATAACATATGCTACGATGCTGGTTTTCCAAGGTTGCCAGGCTCCCCAGACCATGCTGACATACCGAACCTTGCTGCCGTTAAGTTATGCCCTTTCCAAGGTGGAAACCCTAACCTTAATCAGAATGAAGAGATTGCATTCTGGCGAGGAGGACAGGTCACGGAGGAGGGTGTGGAGTGGCTTCTGCAACAAGGATTTAAGGTTGTGGTGGACATGCGGGCTGAGCAATCCGGTAGTCCGTTTGTGCAATCTATGCTTGAAACTGCAGAGAAGACGGGAAAGCTGAGGATAATCAAAATGCCCGTGCCTTTTCGCACGGCTCCCACGGCAGAGCAAGTCGAGGAGTTTGCTAAATTGGTAGCTGTCCCTGAGAATAAACCACTGTATCTGCACAGTCAAGGTGGAGTGGGGCGTGCCTGTGCCATGGTGTCTAGGTGGCGGGAGTACGTACTTCAGCTTAGTGGAGAAGGGATGCGTAACCCAACCAAGGGCTCGTTAGATAGCAGTAACTTCTCAAGTGATGGAAATACCAGTGATGATGTAGGTGCAGCTTTGCGTTTCCCTACAGATGATTCAGCTGATGAAGGCGCCTCTGATTACAGCAACTCCAGATCACTTGACGCAGGAGACCGGGATGCTAAGGATTCCATCACTCCTATGGAGATATCTTCCAGTGGTGACGAGGATGACCAGCGCATGATTACAGCAGTTAAAAGCTCCTTTGAGGCTCAACGTCCTGGTCCAAATGTATTCAATAAAAGTTCAATGTCCCAATTCATGAAACGGCGGAAGACAACCCCTCAGGGAGCAGGGCCTGTAATTGGAATTAGCGATCTAGCTGAAAGCACAGCAAGGAGGGATCAAATAGGTGGGATTGCCGGGCCGGCTGGACAATGGAGATTAGCAGAACCAGGTATTCCTCGAGCAAACGCAGGTAATGATTCGTTAGTGACAGAGCCAAGGGGATTTCCTGAAACTTCAGAAGAGAATGGAAGACTAAATCAACAGACTGGTGCACATAGTGATGTAGCTGGCGAGGAAATTAGAAATGAAAGTAGTAATGGCGCTGCGGTGGACGGAGAAGTGTCTTCCAGATCTGAACAACCAGTTGTGCGGAATGGAGGATTGGTTAGGGTAGACCCTGCCGAAAGTCAGGGTAGATCTGAAGTTGAGAACGCCCCAATAGTCGAAGGGGATATGTGTGCAAGCACCACTGGAGTTGTAAGAGTTCAATCTAGACGCAAAGCAGAGATGTATTTGGTGCGAACAGATGGCTTCTCTTGCACCCGTGAGCGGGTGAAAGAATCCACTCTTGCTTTCACACACCCTAGCACGCAGCAACAGATGCTCATGTGGAAAACGCCACCTAAGACTGTTCTACTGCTGAAAAAGCTTGGGATGGAGCTCATGGACCAAGCACAGACTGTGGCATCTTACTTGTTTCACCAGGAAGGCATGAACGTGATGGTTGAGCCAGATGTGCACGATGTGTTTGCCAGGATACCCGGGTATGGGTTCGTGCAGACATTCTACAACCAGGATACGAGTGAACTACACGAGATGGTAGATTTTGTGGTGTGCCTCGGCGGGGACGGTGTGATCCTCCATGCATCTAATCTGTTTCGTGAAGCTGTTCCTCCAGTCATCTCTTTCAACTTGGGCTCGTTGGGGTTTTTGACATCGCATGCTTTCGAGGCCTTCAAGGGGGACTTGAAATCTATTATTCACGGCAGCGGGGTTTACATCACTCTGCGCATGAGACTCCGGTGTGAGCTCTTTCGCAATGGGAAACCCATTCCTGGCAAAGTGTTTGAAGTGCTCAACGAGGTGGTAGTGGATCGCGGCTCCAACCCTTATCTCTGCAAGATCGAGTGCTACGAGCGATCCCGACTCATCACGAAGGTGCAAGCGGATGGAGTGATCGTGGCCACCCCAACGGGCAGTACCGCATACTCCACCGCAGCAGGAGGTTCCATGGTCCACCCCAACGTGCCGTGCATGCTATTCACACCCATTTGCCCACACTCGCTCTCCTTCCGGCCGGTTATCCTGCCTGACTCGGCACTTCTGGAGCTGAAGGTGCCGGATGAAGCCAGAAGCAACGCCTGGGTGTCATTTGACGGCAAAAAACGCCAGCAATTGTGCAAGGGGGAATCGATGCAGATCTCTATGAGTGAATACCCCATGCCCACTGTGAACAAGCTTGACCAAACGGAGGATTGGTTTGCCAGTCTGTCGCGGTGCTTCGGCTGGAACCAGCGAATTGAGCAGCGCTCCATAACTTTCTACCAGGAATAGCTTCATGTACAGGTACATACTCGTCCACTAAGACGACTTTCAGAATGATGAATGTCGTCACATGTATCACTACTCGCGTTTGACGCCTACACATAAAACTCCGATTTTTCCTTTCCTGTTTGTAATGTAGTGCAGGAAACTCTGGCACAGACAGCATGGTTGGACCCGCCGATAGAAACCTGTTACATCGGTACTGTGGTGATATTCTCTTGTCTGCTCTTGTCTATAGCGTAGTAATCAACCCTTTGTCTACAGATTCAGTCCATAATTTGGGCTTTTGAGTGTAATAGAGCATGGGCCCTTCCAACCCACATGCACATGTGCACATGACGGCTTCAGTGAGTGATTTAGAAACTCAGAACATGGTGAGTGTGTCTCAATGGTGCTTTTTGTTACAACTGAGAGCTTCTTCTAGTCCTGTATGGTCCAGTCTGATCTTCGCCACCTTCATGGTCTGCCTTTGTATGCAACATATCCCAAGTGGTTTGAATTCGACCTTTGTTATGGACTTACTGCTTTTTGTATTAAGGTTCTGAAGTTCACGCAAAAGTGGTTTTTTCATGAATCTGTGATTGTTTTCCAAACGCCACCAATGTCAAGCCATGTCCTTCATTCACTAATATTTTTTTTAAAATCAATGATTTCTGAATGGATGGGATCTTTTGGAATTTTTTTCTATGAAGTCTTGGATTTGATATGTGAGGCAAGTATTAGTTTTATAACCAATGCAACCAATGAAAAGAAGAAAAATGTTGAATATGTTTAGTTAGCAAGAATTACAAATTCACATTGACAGGGGACCAATCTATCTTGAATGGAGGGGGTTTTCCAAGGATGAATAAATTGTAGCAGAAGCCTTGTTATCTATGAAATGTGTTCAAATTTGTTTCCTCTACAAGATTTGATCAAATCTCTATCATGTATCAAATGTGTCTAGGTTTTAAGATTTGGTTTAAATAACAATGTGAAAATTTTAGTTGTTCAATCATTTATTTAGTTTCAACCTTCTAACAATATTGTTTAGAAGTGTTGATTTTTTTTATTCATCTTTTTCTAATATTCAAGTTGTTCTAAACTTCTTAATGATGGACCATATTACTTTGTTCAACTATTGCTTTAAACTTTTGTTGCTATGTTGAGTTTTTTTTTATTAAAGCAATAAATGTTCTTCTCTCTCTCTCTCTCTCTCTCTATATATATATATATATATATATATATATGGTCTTTAACTATCATTCTTCGATTTATATATAAAAAGATTATCTATGAGGTTTTAAAATATATATATTTATATATATATGTATATATATATTAGATATAAATTAATATATATTTGTATTATTAATAACTAAATAGATTTACATTTAATGTCAAAATTTTAAATGAGTAATTTATCATTTTGAAAGTAATTTTGATTTTAGATAAGTATTTTAGAAGCACAATATAATATGATCAAATAAGAGAATGGCAAGATGGACATCATCTTTTATTATACATATACCTTCCTATGCTATACAAATAATACACTAATGTTGCAAGTTTTTCAACAAGCTTGACATTAATGAGGCTAAAATGTATAAAAATGATTTGGTAAAGTTTTAGGATTTCTTTACACACACTTGCATTCTTTGATACTCTCTTTGTGGTATAAGAGATAGCTTGACTTAGTGGTGTTAGATTTTCATCTTTCCTTGAAAATGTGTTGGTTGTGCATTTGTATTTGGTTTAGATCACATACTTGATAAGACAAAGTTCTATGAATTGTCTAGGATTAGTAATACTTATACCAATTAATAATAATAAACTTTATTTATTGCACATGCTTATAATACATGGCTTCCATCTTAGTGATACTCTACCACAAGTCAATTGTGTCTACTATCCACATGTGCTTTGCAATAATTCACATTTGCCTAATGCAGTGACTAATCCATCCTTAAGTAGTCTACCTTCTTTGTCCCAAACTCAAGTTGTTCCTCTGAGTTCAGTGACAACACTATGAGTGTCCCATTTATCTTCTCACTGCCATTGCTCTTGCACTTTAGTTGACCTCGTGTTATTGAGCTTATATATTTGTTTTAACAAGTAATAGATTGTCTACACAATAAAAAGAGATTGTGCATCTAGCTGTTGACTTTAAATAGTTAGAATAAGAGTGTATATATATATATATATATATATATATAATTTTTTTATTCTATTAAATATTTATTAATAATAAGTTGAAATTTCTATTAGAAGTATAAATATACTCTAAAAAATTAACCTCTTATGACATAAATCATATCTATATCTATTTATATATGTATTAATTATAAAGCTAACACAAGAACCATCATAATATTTGGTAAATAAACCAGTTAAGATCAGAAAGTCAAAAAATAAGCATTATATATGGATATGTGTTTTTATTTCTAAAGTTAATCACTTTATTTTAAAATATTCAGCTTTTAAACTGATGATTATTTTAAAATATAAAAATAAATATCTCAATATATGGATGTTTATTTATGTCTTCAATATAACACTAGTCTAAAAATCAAGAAGAAAGCAAAAAAAGTAGTGAAAGGCAAACTTGTTCAAAATTAAATCCTTTATAAATATTCAATCCTAATTACATATTATTATAATCTAGTTTGATTACTTTTTTATTACTATTAAAAAAAAGAAATACATACTCTTATAATCTTTGCAGTCATGAAATGCTAATAAATTACAACAATATGTATTTCTGTGGTAGAAAAGAACACAGAAGAGAATAAATAAATAAATAAAAACTTTGGTAACATGATTTGATTTAATTTGATTTTTCATTTTACTTTTTAGACTTTTAGAACGTGCAGATGACTTGCTTTGTTGTATTGTTGGTACTTTTCTTTCTTTTTGCACACTCTACTTTTGGAACTGTCTTGGGACCAAACCACAAAAAGAACACTGGAAAGTGGCAGGTTCAAAGTACACTAGAAATAAAGAGTGCACACATGAATTCTGGCATTCTTTTGAATATAAAATAATATAAAGTCACCTCATGCACAAGATGAGTGAAACTAATATAAGATTTCGCAGCAGACAAATTTAATACAGGAAAAATTCATTAAAAATAAATACTTAAAAATTCAAAAGAACTATTGAAGCTCAGTACAACCATGAAGTCTGCATGCAGAAATTTTGTGTTTGGTTTTTTATAAAACAAGTATCTGTTTTTCACAAATTAAATTGAAACACACGTTTTCCACCCAACTCAAAAAAAACATTAAATTTAAATATATATTTGTATATATATATATATATATATACACACATGATGATTATTATTATATTGCAATATCAACAATTCCATTTGGTAACTTTCACTCCAAAGTCAATTCCTTGATCCAATGATTGAAGCTTGAAAACTATAAATACAAACACTTAAAAATCTGTGTACCACCCAGAAAAGACTGGAACCCTTAATATATCCAATACAAACAAATAAAGTCGAGACATAAAAAGGTCTTTTTCAGTACATCTTCAGCACTTTGAGAAAAAGAACAAAATCAATGGTCAGAGCAGAGCCTCAAGAGCTGCAATAGAAAGTCCACACGGGCACGGGAAACCGAGGAGGGGGGATCCCAAGGGCGTGGCGGAGTCCCATGAGCGGGAGCCATGAGTGTAGAGCAGAGGGACTCCCGTGGCCGCGCCTCGCCTCCGGCACCAGCAGTGAGTGCCACACATCGAGCAGCATTTGCGTGGAATGGCGCGTGAGGGTGTGTTTGTATGTATGATGCTGGTGTCGTGGGCCCGCTCGAAATTGTGGTCGCATTTAGTGACGGAGCAGCACTGCACGAGTGGGATGATGAGAGCCACGACCAGGCTAGGCCAGGCCAGGCCAGTGTGTCGCGTCGTCTCGTCGTCGTCTCATTTGCCGTCCCCGTGGTGGACTTGCTTGCTTGCCCCGGACAATCGTTGAAGTTACGATGGAGGATTTGTCCATGCCGGATTCTCGGGTATGATTCTAATTCGGCCGTAACGGAGCTGACGTGAACACTGTGCATAGTGCTTGTTCACTATGCCTTTTCGGTGGTCTGTATTTCAGCACGATCATTGGCTGATTGCCGTCTTGCACGGGAGGCGGGGGACTTCTAAGACTTTCAACGCGGACGCAGGGTTTTCTTCTTCCTCCTCCTCCTCGTCTCCTACTTCGCTAGTCGATCTCATATGTCGGCTTTGGCGGCTGGTTGGAGTTATCCCTGATCTTGTCAAATTCGTTTAGGTTTGTTCTACGGGTTGACGCTTGCGTTTGTTAGTGTATTCTAGCGTGAGTTCACGAGTTGTAGGGTTTGGTTATCGGTCGGTAGAAATTCTTGAGCTACCCTGGTGACTCTAATTTGAAATGCTGTCGGCATGAGAAGGTTTTGTGTGTGTGTGTATGAGCTTTATTTATTTTTTTAATCTTGTTGAAGAGCTGGGTTGCAGCTACAACCACATTTAGCTTCTGGAGTAAAACACAGGGTTAGAACCTGGATCAGAGTGAACCTTGCCCGTAGAGTGTGAAATTGGTCACAGAAACGCGGAATGTAGGACACTAGCACCGCGAGCTGATGAAGACACTGACGTTCCAATTAAGTTTATTTCATTAATATCTCATTGAAGAGCTGGTACACACTAACTAATCTCGTGATCGATTTAGTTAAGTTTTGTTCCCGATTTCCAACGATCAAGGTGAGAGGGACAGATTTTTATATTCGTTCTTTTTTAACTCCACAGGGAACTAGAGTGGCTTGAGCTTCAAAAATATCGAGTAGAAGTAGCTCTGTGACGAGTGACATCACACATTTGTAGGATTTTTTCAATGCCATTGGTTTAAAGTTTCCGTACAAGGAAAGGACCATCGATCTTGGATAATACCGGCAGGTATAGTGACGGTGCCATTGATGGTCGAAGCTCTGGACCAAGGGAAGACGTTTTCTGCACAGAGCATTCAGAGGTCTTACGTCTGTAGGAATGATCGAATCTCCTCGATGGATCGGAGGTGGAAGACATGGCTCGGGAGGAAGAATTTCCACAAAGCTTTCCAGGGCAATCAACTTTGTTCTCATATTGGGCGCAGGAATGATGCTTGGCGTTTTCCTGACACTTCAGTTTCTGAGCTACTTGAGGCTGGGCATTCTGTCTCCCAGGGGAGCTAGAATTTCTCAGCGGCACGGTCGAGGCGTACTCGACTACGAAGATGCTAACCCTTATTATTTGAATGTGATGGAGGACGAGGAGCTCCTGTGGAGCGCATCCATGGTTCACCGTCGCCCCAAGCCTCCCGAAGTCGTTCGAATTCCTAAAATTGCATTCATGTTCCTGGCGGTGGGGCCTTTACCTCTGGCCCCACTCTGGGAGATGTACTTCAAAGGTAACGAGGATCGATACAACATTTACGTACATTCTCTTCCTGGATATAATTTGGAGGTTGAGCAAACATCTCCGTTCTTCGGCCGGCATGTTAGAAGCCAGGTTGGTCTACAAAACATTCATCCCCCTCAACTCCTACCATCTACCATTGTGGTGGTTTTTCGTTCTTTGGCTCTTTTTTACTTTTTTTCTTTTTTCTTTCCCTCTTAGAAGCTGGGTTTTGAAACACTTAGGCTGCAGTTCTCTGTTTCTGTCACTCCGTTTGTCGTCCAATTCTTGACTTTGTTGAGGTTCAGAACATCCGCGTAATAGGTTTAGGGCATCCCGCTATATTTTCTTTCATTTTTAAATGGGCGCAAGTGTTGGTCTATCATTGTGTCTCTGCATTGACAGTTCGGGTAACCGGAATATGGTTTAGACAGAAACTTAAGAAACATTGCAAGTTCATACGCATAAACTCGGGCTAAAATTGTTGAAAATATTCCAGGCCACAAAATGGGGTGACCTCTCAATGTGTGATGCTGAAAGACGATTGCTGGCAAATGCGCTACTCGACCAAGATAATGAGCGGTTCGTCCTGCTCTCAGAGACTTGTGTCCCTCTGTGGACTTTCAACTTCACGTACGACTATCTCATGAAGTCGAACCAGAGCTTTGTCGGAGCGTTTGACGATCCAGGGCCGGTGGGCAGGGGTCGCTATGACGAGAGGATGCTTCCGGAGGTGTCCATTGAACAGTGGAGGAAGGGATCTCAGTGGTTTGAAGTAGACAGAGAGCTCGCAACCTACATTGTCTCTGATGTTAAGTATTATCCCAAATTTCGGGATTTCTGTAAACCAATTTGCTACGTGGACGAGCATTACATTCCTACCATGTTGAATATCGAATTCCCAAAAAAAGTGGCCATGAGGAGTGTGACGGCAGTGGATTGGACCAAAGGAGGCGCCCATCCTGGCGAGTTTGGGAAGGATGACGCCGTGGAATTCTATCAGCGGATTCGAAGTGGCCATGATTGCACCTACAATGGCGAGTCGGGGCATCTCTGTTTTATATTTGCTAGAAAGTTTTTGCCCGAGAGCTTGGAGCCCTTGCTGGCCCGCAACATCAAGCATCGAGAATTCGGCTAGATGGTTCTTTCCTTTAAGTTACAAACTCTGGACAATTCTCCACGCTTGGTCAATGAGTATGCTCATGGAGGAGAGGACATTTTCAGACTGCAAGTCGAACAGAGTGTCTGTATCCCTGCTCCATTCAGGATATGCTTTGAGATTTTATCGTGTTATTTTTTCCTCTTCCCAACAGATGCTCGTATGGAGAGGCTGCAGGTTCTCTAGCAAACGGTTACTCGTGCCACCCTTCTGTCTGCGTGGAATGGTTTTGAAGGTTGTGTAGCGAGACATGCTGTCTGTGGACAGCAGATAAGATCACCTTCTGGAATATCAGTGCAAATTCGGAAATAAATTCTGTAGAAAGCTTGCGAATGGCTTTAGAGAACATCATGGCAATAGGCTGCAAGAGCGCAGTGTACACACACAACAATATTGTACGATACATCAGTGGGATCTGAGATGTAAGGTGAGTTTGACCGATCGCTGAATTCATTATTTGAGGGGTCTGTGTTAGATTATCTCTCCGTCATGCATCCCCAAAGTTTTCATGGATACATAATCCAAACTTGCAGGCAGTACGTTTCTAACTCACATGTCGGATTCTCCACTCCCCAGTTTTCAAGCGTCACCTCATATGTCCTAAATTTGTGTGATACGCAATCCACTGTACGGGCAGGAGATCATGCTCCAATTTCTCCTTCAGAAACTGGTACTAGAGAGTTATTTTCATGTGTCTATTACCTCGTATACTACTCGGGGGGTGTCAGGGATCTCTTTTCTTAAAATTCACGTCACACAGCTTCAAACCAACACTAAAACCCTGCTCCATCTTCGCACATTTCTCCACTCCACTCGCGTTACCCTGATACTAATGAGATTCTCGTGAATCTTCTCCCAACTATATCTACTATATTAATCCACCCGAACTTTAGCCTGCATACGCAGAGGTCGGAAGGAGGCAACTGAATTCGCTCTGAACAGCATACGCATACATGTCATGCGGCCACACTTCACCAGAATGATACCCAAAGAATCACAACGATCTGGACGCACATCCCAACGTCCAGCCTCCAGGAAGGTGCGACACAGACTCCACGCGTCTGAATTTGAAGCAAAGCAGTACAGCCAGACCAAGCTTATCTCCGAAGAAGGAGGATACGATAGCCCGAAGACATGTGTAAGGCTATGCTAGTTTCAAAGCACATCCACCAAGCCTGTCCTGCAGATCACCGGCGCTTCCAGTAACCCCGACCCCATTTTAGATGTCGAAGAATCTGAAAGAGTAAACCACCAGATCAGATACTTTCGAAATCGACCAGCCAGGTTGCAAATGCCGCGTGCCAACCATGGTCCTGTATGTGGGGCTGGTTTATGGGCATCGCTGCCAGGCATTGGTCCTGGTGGAAGATGGGGTGGAATACGTCGGATGAGATGCAGTGGTGGCACCTTTGCACTGTCATAAAGTTCACATGTGCTGACGACAGAGTCAGTTTCGGTCAAGACCGTTGAAAACGGTCCGTGGTAGCTGTTGGACCACGTTGGAGTGGGTCTCCACTAGTACCATTTTTAGCATTCAGGTTCTCCGACGATACTTCTGCAACACTCGAGAAATAACCTGTGTGTTTCAATAAGCTAAAACGGAGTGTCTTAATCCTCGACTTTTCTCGTCTTTTCCCTGAAGCTACATATGACAAACATGGATTAAGCACCCACCTAGAACTCCCCAGTCACCCTAGCATGGCAGAGAGCTTCCAAATATTTGAAATGCTGAGAGCTCCACACTATTCTCATTTGGTGAACCACACGTGTACTATGACGATTAAATACAGTCTATGTATTATTTTTTATTAATGTCTTTGCGCCAGTTTCTGGAGGAGGCTCAGCCTCCATATGATCCAAACAGAATGCCTCATTGTCGTTTTCATGTAGAAATATGATAGTGTGTGTGTCTGCCATACCTATGGGTGTCAAAACTTTGGGACGATATTACAAAATTAAAAATACGCACCGTTGCAAATCAACTTGCTCAACATTACAAAGCACGTGCTATTCAGGGACCTTTGCTCTCTTGTGAAGAACCAGTCCTTGAAACGCTCAGTCTCTGTGGATAACAATACGAAAGGCTTTAACAATATAATATTAATATTAATAGTAAGAACGATGTCTGTGGCTTCTAATGGGTATCATTCTAATACAAGAACTCATCAAATCCCCCTGAGTATTACTTTATTTTGTTTTGTTTCCCCGACAGAGCCTCTCACAAAAAGAAGTGTGCAAAGAATGAATGCAGATATTTCCAATCATCCATCCTCCTGGGTTGGTCCCATTTCAGCGATTGGTAGTTAGCCAAGATCCTTCTCGATTGTAGCGTTCAGTGAAATGGGAAAGTTCTGTTGGTCCGCAACTAAAGGAATAATATGCTTTTTTGACGAATTCTGGAATAATACATCTCATCATCAATTATTGATTCAATGAAGGCTTGCCAAGCCATCCAGTCCATCTTTCCCACCCAACTCAACCAAGCTTTTCTTAGTCTCACTGGGGGTGCCACTTTGCCTCATTCTAGAGGCCCTCCACCCTTCGAGCGAACTGGCAGCTGTCAGTTCCGATGTTATTCTAAACTGATTCACGAAGTCTAGTCCCGAGATATTTCTCAGGCAGGCAGCTTTTGCTAGCCATAATCTCTTGAGTCGAGGATTAGTATGTTACTTAAGTCCCCCTGCTGGTTTTCATAATAGCAAATCTGGGTCCTGGTTTGGCAGTTCGGCACACAGAGTCTGCTCCAGGCTTCGTCGGTCTGCACCACTGCATTATCACACAACGGGAGCAGTATTACTGATTCATTCATCACAACGGACGGCCGTTGCTGCTGCCGGGGGCCGCAATCTTTGTAAACGATCCAGGACTCTGTAGATCTAGCGCTGGCTTTCTGCCAGAGATCGAAGTTGTCATTCGTAAGATCTTGCTCGCGGTGCGTTTCAAGGACGTTGGATGTTTTCCTGGAGGACAGAAGTCAAGGACTCGTGCGTGGAGGGAGCACCAATGAGGATCTGAGAGCACTGGTCGGTGGTGCGCAGTAGGTTACGGCGTCCAGGTTTATCTTGTTTACATCAGTTGGGGAGTTTATTAATTTGAGGCGCTTCTGGGCAAGACTTGCGTCTCCTTAAATCCTCGTCTTTAGCTCTCCCTGGTGTTAATTTTCGCCTGAGAGACATAGTTGCCTTAACTTATCAAGATTAGAAGGTCGGACTCCAATCTAGTTGGAGTGATTGCTGGAGTGGGACTGTGCAATGGGTTCAGCGAAGTGGATTGCGTGTGTGTCGCTAGTGTGTTTACTTGGTGTATTGTCTCGAGGAGCTGCTGCCGAGAATGACTTCGGAGACTTCTCTCTTTCGCGGTCCGAGTGGAGCTCGGAGTATATGAGCCTCGACTCTGGACACTTTCTTGGTGCGTTTCAACCGTCCACCCAGTTGAGGCTTGATTGTGGTTGTTGTTGTTGTTTGTTTGTTTTTTGTTTTTTGTTTTTTTTGTTTTTTGTTTTTTTTTTTCTCGGACAAATTCCCGTGAGCGCGTTAGACTCTTTTTGCAGCAGCTTATTCTAGTACTGACGTTGCACCAGGCCACTCATTTTTGAGAAAAAGATGGGTATGGGAGTTCTTCAGACAATGTTAGTGTCTCATAAGTTAAGACTGGTCGTTCAGTTATCCTGCTATGAGTGCCTGACACAAGCCCAGATAAGAACGTGTCGCAACTTCACACTAGCCGGCTGCCGGCCAAAAGCAGGTCAAATATTGTAATTGAATCATCGCGCTTGGCTGACTAGGCCTGTAGGGGGGATGCAGTTGTTCTAGGCCTCTCAGGTCGGCAAGTACAGCAACCTCGTTGATGCTCGCCTCACAGTGTGGAGGCAGTAGTAAAGGTGCAGCGGTACTGAGTGTGTATTTAAATGGAGAGAGCTCTTCGCTTTAGCTCAGGGTCTTTGGAAGCATTGTGGTATGCCCATTGAGTTTCTGTGTGCGTTTTGGGCTCTCTAAGTGGAGCGATGGTCTCGTTACTGACTAAATAATCTAAACCTGGTCTGATTGCTGACCTCTTCAGTCGAGCGTTTCGTGATATGCCCGAACACTCGTCTGAGACTCAAGGAAAACGGATTTTTCGTCTTTTTAACCTTTTTTCAGAATATGATGTCTACGTCCAGCAGATGAAATGAGTCTTCACTAGGGCATAGCCACTACGCTCATTCTACTAACACTGAGGGATCAATTTGACACGACACCCAGAAACCGCGACAAAGGGATGGTTTATCCCCTTCTCCCCCGTCCTCCATCGCCCGGTGTCCTTCAGTTTTCGTGCTGAATTAATCGTAAGAAGTAGCTTGACTTGTTTTGTGAACGTCACTTGCAGACCGGAAGCTTTTGCAAGTTCAGCCGTCTTCACAAACACAACTGTTGGCAGTAAGAGGAGATCGAAGGGACCCTTTGGATAATTTTAGGAAATATCGAGGCGGATACGACGTGACCAACAAGCATTACTGGGCGGTATGTCCTCTAACCCTGTCCGAGATTTTGCCATTGTCCTCACGCAGATACAGTGATATTAGACAGCACTGAACGAATAATTTATTTGTGAACCCTAACTGAATGTTTGCTATTACGTGGTGTAGATGTCTAGTGGGTCTCGATGCTCGAATCTTGAGTTGCATTTTTTGCCAGCCGTGCATTTGTGCAAGCATCGTGCAATTTTCCAAGATTCGGAACTACTCACGTCCACCATTAATGTGATTCCCTGTTGCAGTCAGTAGTGTACACTGGAATCTACGGCTTCGCTATAGGTGTTGCATGGCTTCTGCTCGGAGCGCTCATCACTCTGGGCGCTTGCTTCAAACTCTGCTGCTGCCGTCGTCCCAAGGTAGCGGAGCGACGATCACGTGCATATTATTGGATCCCTCGCATTTTGGCGTTTCTCCTATCCCTCTTCGCCATAGGTGTTATTATCACGATGTTCGTCCGCAACAGCCAATTACACGATCGCGCCTTCAAAGTGCGGGACAGTATAGCTGCTTCCGCAAACGATGCGACGAGCACTGTTCGCAATGTGTCCAACACATTGTCGAACGTGGACACCACTGTCAGCAAGTACAACATTGAGGGGCTGAACAGTAGTACACTTAGTTCTACAGTGAGGAACCTGAACCAACAAGCTGACAGCATTGACAACACAGTGGACAATAACGTTAATACGATCAATAAGCTCATCAATGGAATGTATGTTTCTCACCCTCTCAAACTCCAGGGCATTGCCTCCTCGATTACTGAATCTGTTCTCCTGCTGCTAGTTGCACATGCTGTATTGGTGTTGACATTGTGAACCCTTCTTGAACTCCGTGTTTGGTGATCTGCAAATCTGACCGTGTCCATCGTTTTCTTGGTTCCAGAGAGATTACGCTGATTGTGCTTTTGTCAATTGCCCTCTTTCTCGTCGTCATGGGACTTCGTAAGAAAACCTCCCTGCACCTTCTAATGTCTTAGTCCTTGTGGAATACAAAATTCTGATTCATTTAATTCGGGTTTGATAGGGATTTGAGTTATCTGTTGTCTATCACCTGATGTGTGTTTGATATAAGCGAATCCGTCTGCTTATTTAATTATTTGTTTATTTTTCTCTTGCAGTATCGGCATTGATGGGCTGGAGGACTATCTATTTTTTGTAAGTTCTATACATTCCGATTGCAATTCAAAGTATTTTCTCCTCAATCAAGTTATACTAGCAACCTGCGTTTCCGATCGTTCGGAGAGTTTCTGTTAAGTTCATTACTTTCTGAAGACGGACGGGAAGCCCCATTTCAGAAGGGAGCAAAATCTGCTGCGTGCTAAGATAATATTTTTGTGCTGTGCGCAACAGGATTATTCTGCTCGGGTGGTTGATCGCTGCTTTGACTTGGATTTTATTCGGAATTTTCTTCGCTGCCAACAAGTGAGAGCTTCAATGCCGCTGCCATTCTTCTATTAAAGCCTCTAGCATTGCGACTTGTCGTTCTCGATTCCGTCTTATGGTCTAGTGTGAATGTTGGCAATCCTCTAGATCCTAAAACGGGGCTGATATTGGTTTTGCAGTGTGACATCGGACACATGCCAAGCTTTCTCTGAGTACCTCGCGACACCTTCAAACACCACATTGGATGAACTACTTCCCTGTGTGGACCTGGCAACTGCCGCCTCTGCATCCAACGTCGTCAGACAGGGTGTCAACAACATTGTAGCCCAGGTGCGTAAATACTATTCAACATCTCCCATCTTTTTGTGCTCACTCTGTCATGAATACCAGTGTGCTTTATGATGTGTTGATACTTGGCATCCTTCGCAGCCTAGCGTGTAAGCGTACACGAATTTGTAACGCTCCTATTCGTCCTTGAAATCTGACAGGCAGAGAGGTCTCTCACTCAAATTGAACAAACAAGTGCTGCATTGGGCCGACCTGTTACCCTTCCAACGGTATGCGATCCAATCGGTCCAGCTCCGGCCTTCGAGTACAACAGTAACTGTCCAAACGGCACAGTGACACTGGGTGGACTACCAGGAGTGAGTACTAGACCCACCTTCATTGTTTTCATACATCATTCCCACCTCAAATCCACAGTAGTGGTATGGTGCTTGGTCGGCTGCCCTCACTGATTTGGCGAAACTCTACTTTTTCAGGTTGTGGCGCCTTTCGTTTGCGCCGCGGAGCCAGTCACGCAGGCCTGTTTGGGTGCAGGTCAGTTCGTGAGTAGAACCAATGACACACAAATCAGGGACTTGTCCTCAGGTACTCCACTCTGTCCTGAGCTCTCAAGGTTCATTCTCAGTCTGAGTGTATGAGACCGGAGACTACCGAACTAGCCTTTGAAACTGTGCGGTGTCCATAATCTGACAATTTGTGGTGTTTCGTTGCAGCCGGTCAGAGTTTAGTGACCATTATCCCAACGGTGACGAGGCTAACCAACTGCTCCATCGTGTACAACACCTTCGAGGATATCGTCAACAACCAGTGCCCCCCGACGAAGAGGGCTCTCCGCAACATTTGGATCCCACTCCTGCTATTGTCCATTGCATTGACTCTGTTATCGCTAGACTGGATCTTCGCAAACCATCGCAACAAGAAGGAGCGCTACGCCAGTGGACGCGACCCAGAGGCGTACAACAATGTCCCAAAGTGAAAACAAGCTAGACTCAACACCGATTTGTGAAGAACGAAGTTTGCATTTTTTATTTTACTTCTTTTTTGTGTTTTTTTTTTATTTTGAGCATACAGAGTATCATGTCCAGCAAAGATTTGAGTTGTTGCCCCCTAGTTTCTGAGGGATACCTCTCAACATCCCTGGCTCTGCAGCTGTATTGTCTCTGTTGTTTCTTCCCTTTTTGCTCTATTTTTCGGTAGTTTGTTGTACACTGGTCACTTCAGATTTTTTTGTTTTGTTTATTTATTTTTACTTTTTTTTGGTAGCATAGAGAGCAAAACGGTCCAAGGAGTGTACAAAGATGTACCCAAGGAATTTGTTCTGAATGAACCACCACATTTGTCTAATAACAGGAAGTCTCTCTCCCATTGAGAGTACCTTGAAAGGATTTAGCGATTCTGATTGTCTTAACTCCTATTTTTGTAAAAGGAAATTAATTGGATTCTTTGTGCAAGTAATTTACACAACTACTCACTTCAAGTACTGCAAAATGTACAGCAAATTTCAATCAGAAACATCAATAAAGAGGTACTATATGTATATGTAGAAAACTTGTAAGAGTCCTTTATGACAAATTTTGTTGAGGTACTGTTTTGGCTTTGGATGTGGTTGTATTGATTGTTTGATGATTTGTTTAATTGAAATGTGTTCTTTCTGTTTTCAAATGGTCCAGCTTGGTATTTGTAATCTTGGGGGCTTAGCATTGAAACAGATTGGTAGCGATAATAATCTAAAACACAACAATAATGTTCTGAAAATAAAACTCAAAGCGTGTTATAAATTTTAGAGCTTTGTGAGGAAAGTTGTTGACAAAACTCTGACACCTCATACCCAAAATAAATAAATAAATCTACTTCAATAAAAAATTCAATACCTGTAATTATTACATACAGGAGGATATGGTAAGAAAACAAGCAATCCAACACATTTGCAAATAATGTTTGTGCTCAGTGTAAAAATACCCAAACAAGAGTGAAGATGGGTAAAATACTATACACCTTGGAGAAGCTCATAACAATAGCAAATTGTTGCAATTCAAAAGTACATCATGTTATTTATTTGAAATTAAAAAACATCTTAGAAATCATTTTTGGGGGCTTAATCATAATTTAATGTCGTTTATTATCAAGTGCGTATCAATTTAACCTTCAAAATAAAGTGAAAAGTTATATTATTATTTCTAAAAACATAAATATTTTTATTTCTTAATATTCTTTTTAAATGTATAATTACAACTATAGTATATATATATATATATATATATATATATATATATATTTTTAAATATGATAGGTTAGATACTTACTGATTTTTAATTACATGTTATATATATATCTATATATATAGACACACATACATACACTAACCAATAAAGTAAATTAAAATATAATGTCAATTTTGCATAAATTGTTGTAATCAATATCTTGTAAATTAATTATTTAAGGGAATCGCTAGGTAGACACTGCTCTTTTACTACGTGGACACCTCCCATGGCATGCACCCCCCCATATACACACAACAAAACATTTATTTCCACTAAAAACTTTTGGGGTAAATTTGCAATAAAAGATTTGAGTTCAATGTCATATGGCAAAAAAATATAACACTGGAGCATTGAATTGATAATCCTCACTATCACAGATTCTCTAAATTATATATTTTAATTGATTAAGTCATAAATGGGGTTCGTTATTTTAGGATGCCGTTGATTTTGGAGGGATAGATGAAAGTACCTTCCCCCCCTCACGAGTCTCATCCAAAGTGAGGGGCGGAAGGCGCAAAGGTGAAAGTCCAGATAGTGTGAATAGGGCCGAAAGACATTAGGGTTTCGAGAATTAGGGTTTATCGATGCGGCAGAAGCAAAAGCAAAGGATCTTGCCAATGCTCGCTCTCTTTCGGCTTTCAGCCCCCTGCTCATCATCATATCTCTTGCTACTCTGTCTGCAGCCATGGCTGTCGGGAAGAACAAGCGGATCTCCAAGGGGAAGAAGGGTGGCAAGAAGAAAATGTAACGTCCGCTGGCTGTCTGAGCTCTTTACGACAGTCGAATGTGTAATTTCATTTTTGTGAGTTATTGAGGGTTTCTGCTAACTTGACGACGTGGGAGTGGTGTGCAGTGTCGACCCCTTCTCCAAGAAGGACTGGTATGATATCAAGGCTCCTAACACCTTCACGCAGAAGTCGCTTGGGAAGACCCTTGTCACCAGAACCGCGGGTACCAAGGTATTGAGGGTTGAGTTTTTTATTTTTATTTTTTATTTATGGGATGGGTGTCGCTTTATTGCTGGAGCGCGCTGTCCACTTTGCTCACGGAATCGATAGCTGATAAAAGGTTCTACTTGATGGTCTTATCAGATTGCCTCCGACGGGTTGAAGGGTCGTGTGTTCGAGGTCTCCTTGGCTGATTTGCAGAATGACGAAGATCAGGCTTTCCGCAAGATTAAGCTGAGGGCCGAGGATGTGCAGGGCAAGAATGTTCTTACTAATTTCTGGGTGAGAATAACCCTAACCGTGGTTCTGCTGTTGGCATTATATGCCGGATGACTTTGGCTAACCTGGGATTGCCTGCTATGGCTGAAATTGACATCGTTGATAAGTGGTTGGTGTAGGGCATGGACTTGACGACGGACAAGCTGCGGTCTCTGGTGCGTAAGTGGCAGAGTTTGATTGAGGCTCACGTGGATGTCAAGACTACAGACAACTACCAGCTCCGCATCTTCTGCATTGCGTTCACTAAGAAGAGGCCCAACCAAATTAAGAAGACCTGCTACGCGCAGAGCAGCCAAATCCGCCAGGTTTGCCCTAGCTCTACTTCTATTACTATTACTTGCTTTCTCCGGATTTCGAAATTGTCGAAGAACCCAGCCGAAACCTAAAATCGTATTTCAGAACATTGCTTCTGTACAAATAATATTCACAGGAATTCAGAAAGCAAACTAGACTACCGAAAGGCGTCACCGTAGCTAGTTATCACGAATTATCCTATCTGTATCTTCACTGTATCCTCTTCCGATCTGTGCCGTGAATGCTGCGGATCTAATGGTACTCTGCACTGCCTCGATAAGTGCAGATTAGGCGGAAGATGAGGGAAATCATGACCAAGGAAGCCCAGACTTGTGACTTGAAGGAACTTGTTGCCAAGTTTATCCCTGAGGTTATTGGGAAGGAAATTGAGAAGGCAACCCAAGGAATCTACCCACTCCAGAACACGTTCATTAGGAAAGTGAAGATCCTCAAGGCTCCCAAGTTTGACTTAATGAAGCTCATGGAGGTGAGTCTATTTTTTACTGGGGATTATATTGGCACTTCCGCATTTTATACCCTTAAAAAGACTGTTCTTATGCTTGTCGTAAGTGCCACTGATCATCCCGTATTTCTGACTCAGAATGAGCTCGTGGTTTCTTTATCGTGATGTGTCGATTTTTTCATGTGATGAGGTTCCACATGCTGATATTGTTCTATGGTATTTGGTTCGACAGGTTCATGGGGACTACAGCGAGGAAGTCGGTGCGAAGATTGAGAGGCCTGTTGGGGACGATGCCGAAACCGATGCTGCTGCTGCCGCCGAGCCAGTTCCCGGGGCCTAGTCTATTATTATGTACTCTGATGAATTCAGCACAATGTATTCAAATATTTCTGACTCCATCTTCGCCAATTGCTACATTCTTCTTACCTAGGCAATTTCCCTTGTGTTGAGTGTGAACTGTAACACGATAGACTTATTCTTTGCGGCATGGTTATGGACAGTTACTTATGAACGATAATTTGAGGATATTTTTAGTCTTTGAATGCACTTCCCTACATCACATACTCCTCACATTGATTCTCAAGTGAAACATCAAGTTTTGTTCTGCTCGCCGGATTAAGCCTGAAGAATCATTACACAACTAAATTACCATCTACCAGGAAAACCCTTGGATCACTAGTGGTAAAGCCAAAGACCATCATTTGACTATCATAGACGATGATATAGAAAATGCCAGATATCATCCAGGACGGTTCAGCCATCGCAGTGAAGTTATCTGGGTCTCTGGACCGGACTTCGTCCCTGCTGCAGAGTGCTTGGGTCTGATCTGTTTTTGATCAATGTTGCAGCCGACCTAATGCCGTAGAGTTTGCTCCTGACGTAACTCCCTTCTCGATATGCTACCTATTATCTGACACTCTAAGTCTTAATCCTCTCCTGCTTAGTTTTACAAAAGATGCTCAAGGCCATTCTCGATTGTGCCTGGGTATGCTTTATTCTTGCTCCTAGCTGCAGTCAAAGCGCAGATCCTGCGTTTGTAGTACAACCTGTGATTGTTAATTTACTAAATTAATTCTTGACAATCGTGACTGGCTTTAGATTTTCGGTTGCATCTTTCAATTCCTTTCTTTTCTGCAACTGGGTGTGAATTTCAACTTGATGTTGATTGGTTTACATATACATTTGTGGCTGTGAAACAATTATCAATGCTGTTTTCAAATTTTGTCGCAATTCGCATTGCGGTTTCAGGATGATTTTTTTTCATTTGTGTATTGCTGTTATCAGACATCATGAAAAAAAACTGAAAACCGCAGGGCTACTCTCAGTAGTGCAAAAGTAGAGCTAGAAATATCTATGTGTAATTGTGCATTTTGTTCATGCTATTTTATGGTCATTTGTGTTATCAAGTTTTGTGAAGGAAACCGCACCCATGGATGGATCTTTTCAAGAAAAAATCGTTAAAAGACAACTCCAAGGTAAATAAAATCGTTAAATAAATCTGATTTACCTTGATAGTACTTGTAGCACCACCACGCCCTTGTACTGTAGGACATTGACAACTTCGTTCTGCTTATTTTAGAGAACAATTAGAATAAGCAGAGCTAGTTCTATTATGTTAGACTTAATATAGAGCTACAGAAGAGGGGTGGTCTTGCATTTAAAGTTCTATAATACGTTCAGCCATCTCACAATTGCTATTTTGTAATTATTAATAATCCACACTATATACGAAAAACTCAAAATAGTGACATATTTGTAAAAGAAACGATCCAAGAGCTAAAAACTAAAAAAATCTGCTTGAACTATTAACTGAGAATAATAAAGGAAGCTAAAAATCAAATGGGCTCTTGAAGAGAAGAAGGTGCACTTCTGTATGCAATCTGCAATGATTGCATATTTAAAATGCGGCAGTTGCCCACCAATGCGGCTGTGGATGTGACTCTGGATCACTCAAAAAAAAAAAAAAAAACAAAAAACAAAAAAAAAACAAAAAAACTTCCATAGGGTTTGGGCCACACCATTGGGATTTTAACTTCAAACCAAACAGCACAAATTCGCCGCAAGGATTTTGATTGAGTGTAAGGAGTCAAGACCAGTAACTTATAAGCATTTTTCACTTCGATTTTAGTCACACTACCTTGAAGTGGATGCACATTATATTTAATTTTGATATATTTCTATTTACTAGATTCAGCGCTGATAAAGTAAACTATCAATTATTTTAATCCAATTTAAATATGGGGTCGTGGGTCTTCTATTCAAGACTTGGTGTTAAGGAGCCCAACGTAGCCAACCCCAAGAACAGACAGCGCACTATGACTTAGCTTAATGAAGTAGCGCATACTTGAAATAGATATAAGGTGCTAGTCAATACAACAAACCTCAACAGTGAATATGACCAAAAAAAGAGAAAAGGAACAAGCGAAGCGAAAAATTACTCTCAACACATGCGGATTACGTTCATACAAATTCTGCGCTAAGAGAGGATAGCTACAAAAACACAGAAGTCGCTGGCAGATTGAAATCAGCAATAGCTGTTCAATAAAATCCAAGAACTTGGGTAATCACCAAGCCATACAAAAACATTAAAAAAGCTTTCTTACAAGCTGAATCTATCCACGCTGCCACATACAAATGCCTTGAGCTCCCATCAATAAGCTGGGAAATCGAAAACATCAACTTCTGCTTCCATATTTAAATTAATCTCCCTTCTTCCTGAACGAGCAACCCTCAGTCAAACGGGCTCTTCCACCCGTGGGCTGGCAAAGAACCGTGGAGCAGCTGCCGCATAACACCACAGTCTGGGAGTGACTGAAAACGGTGGTACTGCAAACCAATAAAGTTTAGTTAGACATGTGCCTTAATTGTTCACGGAAGCACTAAATAAGCATCTACAACAGGTTGAACTCATAAATTCACATACGTTTTACGATCGAGGATACGTCTCTACATCACTCGTATAGTTTGGTCAACCATGACGAAGGATTGATCAGAAAGTCACATGGCAAGATTAAGGTGAGGGCCTTACATGCTGAAGCATCCCTGGCATTTGACATCCTGTGTACCATCAAAACATAAAGATGACATCAGTTAGATTAGCGTTCTCTAAATCTCAACTGTGTGCTTATTCCCAAACAAATTCCTAGCACCCGAGAACGCCATATGATTTCAACAAGACAATACACAACCGACTAAGCACTTTCATAACCTGATAAATTGCAACTGAAAGGTGGACAGTGTAACTATATAAAAGCGACAGTTTAAGAAAGTGATTGGTGTCAAATGAAATATAAGAATAGAGTTGGTATGTAGAAAATTAGATAAAGAAGACCATTTAGAAGGAACAGTACCATGAAAAATGAATTGGGAGACTGCACAAGCCTTTTCAACTTGTGTTTCCTTTTCTCCAGTTCCGCAGGAGGATGCAAAAGGTCAATATCGTTAGAGAGCACCTACAAACCACAAACAGCATCACCGACTCTCAGAAGATACTTAGCAATCCTGTGAGGCGGAACCCTAAATGTTCCGAGCGATCAATTTCTGCAAAGGATACCATTCCCACCACCAAAACCCAAAGGAGAATACATCTTGCAGCGCAATAGAAGGCGTCAGACGAAATAGATTTCTAAGAAACGTTTAGATACGCCTCCGCTGTCTCAAACTCAATCTCACTCTGAAGACCTTACAAAAACATTACCACCCAACATCTGAAAGTTCATCTAGAAAAACTTTGAAAGGATCCCATCAGCTACACCCAAATCTCCAATTTGAATGGCAACCAAATTCGCATCAAAGGGGCTTGCGCAGCACACTGGCTCTGCAACCGTTTGAATGTACCAAAACGATACCAAGAACTACAACAAGAAAAAATTCAAAAGAAAGGAAGTCGCACCATGGTGTTGGAATGAGCGAGTAAGGGAGAAAAGACAGGGAGTGAACTGGATGGAGATAAGCAGTGATCGACGCAGTGCGACCCTCTTCTCCAGAGAGCCAGCGTGTACCAGCGACCGCGACAGAAGGATCTATGTATATGAAGGTGATGCTCATATACTGGATTCAACCCTAATGCCTGGGAATTGGGATTTTTCTCGTTTGTAGATTCATTCGTCCTTGCTTCCTTGCGAAGGCATCCGTTCCACCCGAAGCTTCATTCTTCGTTGCTTGAGGTGGACGTAACGTAATGTGCGGCAGGTTTAATCGGCAGGATGAAAATTGCAAGATTCCAACATTGATTCGACCCGGAATTCTTTTTGAAATTCAGCAATAACACTGAAGCACAATATTCTAGTAGTAAGGGTAATAATAATGTGTTTTAAAGTTGAATTGACGCTGTCAGAGCGAGAAAAATGTGGTTGCCAAAACATGATTAGATTTACTGTAAACACATCGGAAACTGTTGCGTGCTTGAAATATAATTAGTGAGAACTATGGAAGTTCTGAAACTGGTGTTTCAACGTCTGGTGTGAACCTCACCGATTGCCTACAATCACCAAAATAATCAAACTCAAAACCATACTCACATCTAAATCATACTTCGCATCCCAAAACCCCAAAACAGAAGCATTGCTTCGTCTCTCCCCTCGTATGCAATTGATCGCAATTGACGTATCGAATCTGTGTCAAACTTTAACTTTGGAATATTCTGGATTATTTAGGGTTACGCAACCTGTGGGGTTCAAGCAAACGGGAGGGAGTCGAAGTTCCAACACATCTCTCATTTGCCCCAGTTGGGCTCCTAAGACAATCCAAAGATTCTGCTGCTGATGTTCCTAACTCCTCAAGTACGTGCAAAAGGATTGCGATTCTGTGCTGAGACCTGTTCAGGGATTAGTAATGTCGTGGGAACGTGAATCTTTGCAACAAATGTTAGGTTGAAGGAGGAAGAAGACAACCAGCCTATCATCATGCATTCCACAGTAGATGGCATTGGAAGGAAGCCATGCCGCCTGATCCGAGGAGATGGTCTCCTTTACATGAATGAAACTAATTTCGAACACAACACTAAGCGGAGCTGCGCCTCAGGAACTATTCTATCTAAACGTAGAACTACACTAGGCTCGACAGAAACAATGGAAAAGGAAGGGTTCTACGAAGAGCGACGCAAATCCAAGTACATGGTAGGGTATCATTTGGTATTCTACTATGCTACTGAAGGCTTGTCCTCACGGCAGCAAAAATAGTGCACCGTCTGGTAATGCCCAGTGGGCCTAAAATACATAGACGAGGGGTATACATTCCCCTCGCAGGTAGTGCCAACTGTGTGTAACCCACTGCAAGAAAAATCGATACAATCCTTGGCCACAATCTGTATGAAAACCAAAGGCTCACAACACTAAGGATTGCAAAAGAAATCAAACATCTAGAAATCGGCAAAGTACCTCTAATCTGAATGCATTCTGAGTGATCTCCTTCATCGTGCACAAGGAACTGCTGGCGTGGAGTCTTGGACAGAACATCATGTTCGCCGTCTATGCGTGTAGAAGTACAAGCAAATCGAGGGGAACCAAACCACATCAAGTTTTTCTTTTTTCTTTTTTGAAATCGTTGTTGAAGACATCTGTTTGCACAATCTTTTCTGGACTGACACTCTCCAAATTGGGGGATAAGGCGTTGAAAAGTCATCCCAGCAAAGTCGTTTCCAATAAAGCTCACAAACCCATTTCAGTGGTCTCTGTGGTATGTGCTCAGGCCGTCTCCGGAGATACAACAAGCAGAGCGATAGAACAGGATGGTTTCTTCTCTTGAACGCATCAAGAGCTAGCCTGAGGGTCAGACGTGCTCCCAGTGGTGGAACTCGTCTGGGGTGAATCCACAGCACTAGTACCAGTGTTCACAGTCCGAAGGATTATCTGAACCATATATTCTTGATCGATGGGTTTGGTAAGAAATGCGTCCATTCCAGCATTCAAGCACTTCCGCTCGTCGCTGGCCATTGCATTTGCTGTCAGCGCCACAATAGCAGTTCTGCCTGAAAAATGCTTCTCAAACTCTCGAACTGCCTTGCAGGATTCATAGCCATCCATCACAGGCATCTGCAAGAACAGGGTAAACGAGAAAAAAAACCCCCGATCAGATCATAAACTTCTTCAAAGGACTAATTGAGCATCTTTCAATTTGAATCTAAGCTCTGCTTCTACAGCATAAGCGTCTCTTGTAGACTGCCCAATAGTCTACATCTGAGATGCCTCCTACCAGTAACTAAGAAGAAAAGTAACTAAGGTTACTTCGATTCATGTCCCTGCTGGCATTAATATAAGAAATATGGCTGCGAGGTATTCAGTTGAGGAAAAATCGCGACAAGAACCAACCTGACAATCCATCAAAATACAATGAAAAGAAGCTTGGCCATTTCGCAAACGTGCCATTACAGCTTCCACAACTTCCTGTCCATTTGAAGCCTCAAAAGTTATGGCCCCCAATCTTTTCAACATAGCAACAGCCAACTTTCGTAGCAGCGGTGTATCTTCAGCCACTAAAATCTCAAGCTTCTCCAAAGGCTTAGGGGCACTAGCAACGCCATTCCTCCTGCCGTTGAGCTGTGCAAGGACCGGAACATTTTTTTTGATGGGCTTGCTAATTGTAGTTGAACTTAGAGAAGATGAATCAGATGGTCTGATTTCCATTTCTGAATAAGATATCTCTTCAAGTGGAGCCGACTTTGTAGCGGTTGGCCGGTACCGCACATTCCTTCCTTGCATCACTGCAGGGGGGATTGGCCGAGGAGATACTTCTTGAGCTAGTGACACCTCAGCATCACACGCATAAGGATCGTTCCACTCCTGCTGCTTCGCATAATTGATGACGCTGGAGGCATGAAGTTCCTGTGGGCGTTGGATTTCCAAGGCGGGCAGGACATCTCCCTCCCGAGACACTAGATTAAAAATCTCCTTGAGGCGAGCTGTATGTAGAGGCCTTTTAACTAAAAATGAGTTCCGAACTGCACGAAGGGCAGCTTTAATGGGCTCATGAACATTGGACGCACAGACCCATACCACAGAAAGGTCCCCTTGGAGATCTCTTCGCTGTCTATCATTTACCTCCAATGTGCTGTTCAACCCTAACTCATCTAGATACTTCGTAGGTGAAGTGGTGAAAAACCCTGATTCCTGAAGGTACTCCTCCAAGTAATCTGCTTTCACATCGCTGGGTAAAAGGCTAGTGTCAAGTACCATAAGTTGCCTTATTTGTCCAGTAGCTGGCCTTTCATCACTGTCTTTCCAACTTCTCCAAAACTCATATCTCTGTGACCATGTCGAGCGTCTAGGTGGGGCATTGGCAAGTTGCTGATCATCTGCCGAGGGCTCTGATAACAGGTTTTCAAAGAACCCAGATCTACCACTTCCCGCACTAGACCCCCCATTGAGAGCCCTCATATATAATAATATCTGCTCCCACGACTCGACTTGATGAACGTTCAAACCAAATTTGGTGATCCACTTGCAGGCAACTCCTCTGCAGTCAGCGTCAGGAATGCCAACAATAATCTCAGTACCCTGGTACGAGGGAGGTAAACTGAAGGGAGTAAAGTCACATGTTGTAGCCCGCTGGAAGCAGATCGAAAACTGGAAAACGACTCCAGGACCACTTTTCTCAACGATCCTTATGCTTCCACCCATGAGCTGAACGAGAGAGCGCACGATACCAAGGCCCAGGCCTGTCCCACCATGCCTACACCGAATACAAATCCAACACTTAGCATCCTCTTGTTCTCATCTATAAATGAAAACTTAGATTCCATACATACAAAAACAGTTTCACTCGGAAATTCACACTGCAAGTGATCAACGCAATCTTAAAAGCTGCTAGACTATTCATCAGACACCAGAATTTCTGTGATCCAGAAGATTTATCGAACGAGCAAAGCATCTGATGTAAATTCAAAAGTCTGCAAGATGATGGAACTGTGCCATACGTGCGAGTTGTACTAGCATTTCCTTGCACAAAGTTTTCAAAAATCTTCTCCCGCAAAGCTGCAAAAACAAACACCAATAGCATTAATGGTATCCAGTTTATAGATAAATAAGTCCATCGAATAAAAATTAAACAACAGGGGTTAGAAAGGATTGCAAGAAAAATGTACAGGGAGAGCTTCAAAGCTGCAAATACTCCAAGAATAAACACGGGCAATTAGCAGCGACTTTATGAGCTTGGCTCCATTTCATAATTCGTCAGGTGATTTGATACAGGAGTCATTGGAAAATTTACACAAGATGGGATAAAGGAAACCTCAAAACATCCTTTGTGACAAACGTTTGATTAAGGGAGTTTACTAACCAGGCTCAATCCCTGGACCGGTATCGTCCACCTCAAAGACCAAGACCACTGTATCAGGTGCACTAGACGCCTCAGTGTATCTTTCGAGTGAAAATGGGCTAAAACTTCGTCGATGCAACCTCCCTGATACATCAGTTTCTGGATTGGCAATTCGACCTCGCACCATAATACGACCCTTGGAAGTAAATTTGAGGCTATTTCCCACAAGGTTTGTGAAGACTTGCATAACTCGTGCTGAGTCACCAATTACCCTCTTCGGTACATCATCTGAGCATCAAACACATTAGTTCAGGGAATCAAATTCACATTGTGCAGTGCATGTCTGTAATATTTAAGCACTTCAACCTGCTCCATCTTATCCATCAAAATCACAAAGAAGAGTAAGAACACGAAATCAAATGAAGTGAAATCAAACGTAGTTCGAAGTCAGAAAATCATTGGTCTAACACACATCAAAAACTAACCTGCGACATCAAGAGAGATGAACAGGTTCTTGTTGTCACATTGCACAGAAAAGACATCGATGAGTGCAGTGAGCTCCGCTTCTAGATTGAATTCTGCTTTCTCCAGTACCAACTTTCCTGATTCCACCTGTGCAAGGAACACAGCAATTCAAACAAACACACCCCCCACCCCAGCACTTAGAACGTTCTCCTATTATTTAAATATAAAGGGGAGTAACTGTATTTCCGAGGTTAACCTGGGTAAATCCTTCAAGCTTGCAAAACACAAATCCCAAAAATGAGAGAAGTTGTAGGTCTAAAGAAGAAGTTAAAAGAATCATACCTTCGCAATGTCAAGAGCAGAATTCAGCAATGAAACTAGAGATGTAGCACAACGGTGGATCTGTCGAATACTCCCCTCATGTTCCACGGTGAGGTTCTCCATCAAAAGCATATCTAAGAGGCCTATGATGCATGCCATTGGCGTTCTCAGCTCATGACTGTCCACAAAATCAAGATACTATCATCAAAAATTGATAGGCACGAATGAAGGAAAAAGAGGAATAGAAGTGAGTAATCTCTTTTCAAAGAAGAAAGAGCAAGTACATAATAAGCCCCAAGTCTACCACCACATTCCTTAACACTTCGATTAATGATCTTGTTGATTGGCTGCAGAAAAGTATAATAGAATTCCTAAGTACTAGATAGACAGCCGAGTGCCCACTTGTCTAATAAGTGTTTTACTATCAAAACCCAACCATAGACTGGGTGATTGATTCTACATGCCCAGAAACATATAGACTTACGATCAATAAAGTCAGTAACAATGTCCAGTGAGATGTGACGAAATAACTAACCTCATACTTGAAAGAAAATTTGTTTTTGCATCTCTACTAGCTTCTGCACGATGCTTGGCCTCAGCTTGCCTCAGAATCTCTGCTCTCAGTTTCTCTTCCGCCTGAACTTGTTCGACCAGGAGATAGATAAGACTACAACCAATGAAGACCACGCCAATGGACAGTAGGGGAAGCGATATCCATGTTATGCGAGTGTAGTAATCCATAGGACCCCAGAAACTATGCCTTGGAATCATGACCACCACGGAGAGCTTAACTGTCTTGAACGTGTATGGCCAACTGTCAACCGAATACCGCTTGCCCTTCAAGATTACGTCAGATACGTGTGTTTCGCTCATAACCAAGTTGGCCAATCCAACCCGATTCTGAAGAAATGACTTTCCATCGTTCAAGACCGAATTCCTATCCAATGGAGTGTTCTCACACTCGCTTCTATTGCTCAAAACACAGACTGTTGGCTCAGATGAGAACAAAAGAGTTCCGTGCTCGTCCGCAATAAAAACACTTCCCCCTGCCGAAAGCTGTGTCAGTGTAAAAAAAACTTCAACTTACCCATTAGATAACTCAAAATGGAAGCCTCTAGTCCACAAGCCTACAGGTAAGCTGCTGGATACAAAAGAGAGCAGCAACAAAAGAAGGTCAAAGGTCCTCTAAAGAAATATTGAGCTGTCAAATGGCAGTACTGTTGCATACCAAACATGTGACCCACGCACTGGCTCCTAAGACAGGAAAAGATTGCAGCAATTAAGATACAATAGACACATGTGTACCTTTCAACTCCAGAGATGCGATAAAACTATTAATGGCAATAGCACTCAAGGATGAGTGAACTAGAGCCACTTCATTGGTAGTCCTTGCTTGTTTCGATATTCCACACTGAACGAACGCCTGCCCACCTGCATGCACATTGTTATCAGCCATAAGTCACAAACCATATTCTAGCTGCCTGCAATAACAAATCTGCTGACAAAACATTAATCAGTGTATCCTTGCACCATCTCTATTGGCGCACTGGAGGTTCCGATCTCTCCAATTAATATCATGTATGCAATACAGCATCCTAATATAAAATCCTTCGTCTTTCAATCAAAGTCAGCATTGAAAGATACTCAACAGAGCTTGTAGCTCAAAGGCATCGACACTTTGACTTTATCAGATGTAATGGGAAACTTCAATCCTGCTGCCAATTGAGAACAGGTTGGTTTTAACTTTACTTACTTATTAAGCTCCGACCGATGGTCCAAGTGAGATTGTTAACGGGGTAAGACATTGCTTTCTGGAACCAAGGCGTATCCTGGAGAGAATTTGGAAACTTCAGCACTAATGGTGGACCCAGTGGATTCCCAGTCGTCTCAGACACATACTCCTTGTAATAAACTGGTGCACCACTGGTGTCGTTCGAGTAAAGGCAGAAATTTCCCTTGAAACCTTCTATTTCATCTTTAAACCCACGGTTATAGACTGCTGTGAGCCCATTGACAGCAGTTACTCCTAATGAAGTCACCACTGGAAGAGCCTTGAACACTGCCCAAGAAGCCTCCCGGATCTGCAATAAAGAAACCAGAATCTCGTAAATATCTCGCTAATGTGTGCATTGGCTGATAACGCGATTTTGCAAAATAACACCAAAATTAGGAACTGGAGTAAAGAAGCACGACAGAATCCACAGCGCTTCTCCCTGCACGTAAGTACCAATGCGCAGTGGCGAGCTGGTCCCACATTCTTTCCTCAAACTAACATCAACTACTAAAATACCAGTATCCAGGAGAAAAACCCCTTGCCGCCCGCAACCCAAGGTTACAAACATGCCCAAATCGTCTGTGCTAGACGGTTCAAGTTTGTCCTTGAATAGATCTCGTCTTCACATCACATACCCTGTTGAAATTATCCTTGCTGAAGTCGTCCCCCAAAAAGTTCTTCTCCATGAGATTTGCAATGGCCATTGATCCATAAGTGTTCATTGAAAATATTTCATCCAGAAGTTCTGATGTATTTTCCAGAATTTCAAGACGCAGGGACTGCGAAAGACTGGCAACTGCACTCTTTGGATAACTGTGCGTGAAATACCAGGTGCTTATAGTAAGAAGTCCCACCAAGACTGCCACGGTTATCTGTTTGAAAACTCGTTAATCATTAGTTTACAGATCAACACTCCATGAACAATTCCATTCGCAATCAAACTCAAAATCCACTACGATCCAAATGAAACTGAAGAAGTGATATGCAGGTTCTCAAGGTTATGAAGAGTGTGCTACAATCAGAAATTTGATTCGGCACTGCACTTCGCATAGAGCATCGCTATGACACAAGCACTGTCGGCTCTCTGCTCTCTAAATCAGACAATAAGACAAGTATTGCCTGCCAACAACCTGAGGAATGAGATGCAAAGAAACTCAGAGTCCTCACCATGATGACAACACGAGAGACAGTAAGATTGCGACTTGGATGTGGCAATTGCTCCATTTCGGGATTCAAGGGTCCATAAGACCCTTGCCTGTCCTTGGGCAGGTTCCATATTGTCGCAAGCCTGAACATTTTGAACTCCCAGAGACAGCCCGTGTCTACATACACTATGAAATAGAGCGCAAAACATCCTCTGTCACTGATAACTTTCCTGCCGTGAGTGTCCTACGCGCCATCACCCTGCAATAGCCAGTCGTCTGAAAACCTTTTCTCGTTCTAAAAACCTCCCACGCAACAATTGGTATGTAGGAAACACATGGTCACAGGAGGCAATAGTCTCGAAACGTCTGCATTCAACTCTAACCTACTGCCCTCGACCTTCGTTCTTGGCAACTTGAAACACGTCCTGATATCGTCTAAAATCGTCATTTTCTGCCCGCTAGCCTTCTTCATGACCTACCCAAATCTCACAAAAGCTCTGCTGCAACCCTGTTTCCTTTCCCCTTCAGTGTAATCAACTTCCCACATCCGTAACCCAGAAAAATTCCTTGGAAGCCTGTCGTTGGCATCAAATTGTAATAGACAGAATACTGGGGATGCCTGGTGCTCATCTGCACTTCGTCCCAGTAGAAGAAAAGGAAAAAAAAAAAAAAAAAAAAAAAAAAACCACTTTACTCGGCTACAAGTGTACTTCTAAGAGACTGACCCATAACAGAGAGGAAAGCAACTGCAGAATCCGAGTCAAGAATAAAAGTTGGTGGCTTGCATTCTAGCGACTTAAAACTGACAAAATGGCACGAACACACCTAAAGCTTAATGCAAGCCAATAAACAGAAACAACTAAAAAAGCTTACCAACAAAATACGCTAAGTCACCAGCATGAGCTACAACTCAACCCTAAGATTTTCTTTCGATACAATTCACCCCGGTTTCAAGTCACTCTACAATCCCAGAAACCAGAATCTTCCTGGGTCAGAGAAGGGAAGGGAGAGGCAGAATGGCTAAGCAATGGAGACCTGCAAACCAAAACAAAACACACATGACACTTAAAGAACTAAACCTCTTAAACTGCCATTCATCTCGACCTATTACTACTCCTCCCAGGACATCCAACTTTCAGAAGTGTACGGTGAGCGCAGGAAAAGGAATCCGAGACGACCACGACGAGGGTATGGTCGCCATTCGAGCGTCTGGAGCTTGTGGTGTCCGCTTTACCCGTTAAATTCCGGGGCTAGGAGTGTAAATCGAGATAGACAGAGACAGAGAGAAAGAGAGACGGGGCAAGGGAAAAGAGAGCGCGATCGAGAGCGAGGTGGGTTTTAAATGGCAACAACGTCCATGGCTGGCGTTGCATTTACTCCTCCAAGACTTGGCTCAACCTGGATATTCCCGGCCTGCTCAGACCGTAAAGCTGAGCATGCTTCATAAGAGCAGGCAAGTTCATGCCTCCGGATTTCACGACTCCGCGAGTGACACTCCTCTTCCCCCACTTTCTGCGCTGGTCTGCTCCACCTCATCCTCCATCTCAATCCTTCTCCTCTTCCTGCTGCTTTTCGGCTCTCCGACCCCCTTACTCTCTGAGCCTCATTACCACTCCCTGGATTTACCCCTCCATTCATCCCACCCTGTCCCACTCTCTCCTAATTTCTCGCCTGAGCCTGCAGCTGTGCTGCTGCTCTGACCCAGTGATTCACGTGCTCTCTCCTGAGAGATTTCCCTCCATCGCGCGCATTGCTCCACGGCACCTGCTTCTCGAAGCTGGGCTGGGCTGGGCTGGGCTGGAGGCGGCAGTTGAAAGCTCCCTTGAGCATATTTACCTTCTTTGCTTTCGAGGTAACGGCATCTTAGCCCTCTCTCTTCTCCGTAACCACCCCCCCCCTTTTGTTGGAAAAATAAAAATTACACAACCCATTGAAAATTTCACTTGTTGCATTGGTTGACTGGCACGGGAGTGGCAGCATGTTACGGTACTTGTAGCCCATTCTTTTCGGTTATGATAAACCAGAAGAAGTATTATAAAAAAAAATCAAATAAAATAGAAAAATGTAAATTAACTTCGTCATGCTTTCTTTTTTAAATGCAGTTTTGTGGGATGGATTCCTGCAGTATACTGTTTACTGATAGATCGTCAAAAAGGCTTTTTGTTGAGATGGGTTCATCCTGGGGGGTCGCATCCACGCCACTAGTTGGCCACAATCTATTTCCTGCTTGCTGCATTGCATTGCAGTATCTGTCTCTGATTATGGAGGAAGGAGGGAGGAATAAAGACTTGCTGCTGCTGCTGCTGCTGCTCAAAGGGGCAGTGGCGATGGTGCCCTTTGCTTCCCTTGGTGCCTTTACATCTAACCATCCATCCATCTATCTATCTATTTCTACTTCTATTTCTATCAAAGAGTGAGTGAGGGAGGGAGGGAGGGAGGGAGGGAGAGAGGAGTGCATTTTGTCTGAATGCAGAGCTTCATGGATGAGGATGATGAGAGAGCTTCATTGCATCTAGTCAGCTCTTGATCACCTCTGCTTGTGGCTTTAGCAGCCTTTTGCTGTCTGCAGTGCAGAATGCTGCTGTTTTGAGGTGGTGGCATCCCACCCTCAGCCTTCGAGTGTAGCCATCTGCTCCTCTGTTCCCCCTTTTTACTACCCCCCAACATGAAATCTGTGAGAGGTGGTGGCTTCCTTTTCACTCTCTTCTTTCTAGCAAATAGAGGTCTACATGAATGAATGAAGCAGGAAGTTTGACACAAATTGGAGAAAGGGGAGTTTTTTATTTTCATTTTTTTCTACAAAGTGAATCAAACCGTGGTTTTTCTAACTTGCCATGTGAGTGTATTATTGAAATTTGTTTCCCAACTTGCATAAAATTGGGAGAATGCAAAACTTGTTGGGAATTTGATTAGAAGCTGCTATCACCTTCTCTATTGCTCTACATATGATGGAGTCCAATGATGCTGACAATTGACATGATTGTTTAAAGCAAGACAAGCTCTATTTGTTGCTAGCTTTAGTTTATAGCATAGAAGCAAGTCATTGTCTTGAAAGTTTATATCACATGAATAACTTTCAATGTTTGAAATATTCAAGGTGGAAAAAATCTCATAGAAAAGGTAATTTCTATAATAAAATGTTAACATCATCAGCAACATGAAGTTGATGTGTTTTCAAATGCCACTAAAACAATGTTCTTCCTAAACATAAATAACTATTAAGTGTTTGAGATCTTTTTAACACTTTGTTCAAAAAACAAAAAGAAGAAAACTTTGATCTCTATAATGTATAAATTTATGTTCATCAATATTTAATTGCTTATAATCAACAACTTCATATTAAATCACATATTATTTAATATATACACAAATTTTGTAATTCTAAACTTATTATGAATTGTAATTTTATTCATTTCTAACTTTTTTACATTGTTTTAGTAAATATCATTTAGAAATACTACTAACATTAAATCAATTTCTACAAATATATATTTAAATTCATACCATAACAAATAAAAGATCACTATGTGTATGTCTATATGTATGTATGTACTTCAACATACATACATATATACATATATACATATATATATATATATATTGTTAAAAATAATAATTATCATTAATTGTATTAATACATGTCATAAATTTCTTTATCTTTTGGAAATTGCTTGCAAGAGACAATAGTTTATTGCTACAAGTATGAGTATTTCAGAATTCAAAATTGATCTCCAACTTTGTCATTTGATAGAAAGAGACCATTCAACATTTTTAGCTTGTAAAATTTTTAAATTTTTAGTTACAATAAATACTTTATAGGTTTCTATAATTATTATAAATTTAAATTAAGAAAACATACTAAATAATTATCAAATAACATTTAAAGAATTAATTAAGAAATATTTTCTAAAATTTTAAAACATATAAAATTAGTTTTTATCCTACTTAATTTTTAAAAGTATATATATATATATCTATATTTAAATATTACCATATTTTTACGTTTAAATAAAAAAATAAAAAAATATATCAAATAGATGACAAGTTATGGTGGCATTAGTAATATCATGTATATATATATATATATATATATATATATATATTTTACTTGAAATTATATTATTTTATACAACTCTAAAACTATAGAATAAATTTTTATGGTTATTATATTATTTTGGATTATCTTAAAGTATTTTATTTAAGTAGAAATAAATTCTTGCATTGAAAATAAATTACCAAATATTCAAGGTCTAAAACTTTATTATATGACTTGCACATCTATCACAAACATGCACATATAAGCCAATAATTACATATATAAATATGTAGAAGTAAGTAAAAAAATATAAAAGTAAGTAAATTCTATAGTATTTGATATGTAAGCTTCCTAGAAGCTTCATAGATGCTACTTTGACTTTATAGGTGTCTTTAATTGACTTTTTAGATTAGAAACGGGATCGACAAGTTGGCCATGTGCCACACATGTTGTTAGCTTGAAGACCAAGCTAACTATGTAGCCCACACGTAGAAAAACTTACCTTGTAAGTCAAGGCATGTATCATACAAAGTCAACACATATTGGAGGTCCTATAGAACGTCACCATGTAACCCCTAGTTAGATAGTATAAATGGAGACAAGAGTGAAGCCCTCTTCACTCTTGTCAACTCCTTTCTTGCTTCAAGTCTAGTTTCAAGGGTCTCTAGTTTTCTTATCTTTTGGCAATAGCAACTCCAGTTTCTTTTTTAATATACATATCAAGTTATTTCTATTTTTTCATCTTTCTTTCAAAAAAGTCACACTTGTTTATTTGTCTTTATTATATTCTTGTCCTTGACAGATTGACAAGAATACACTTATAATATCATAGCTTTGTCTAATCTTGATTAAGAGTGGATTACTCCTTTTTCTTGATAAGACATAAGTATATTAGAAGTTGCAGATTACCCTCTTCTAAATTAATATTGTCTGTAGTATTTTTTTTTATTCTCAAGTCCTCTCTTCTATTTGTCTTGAGCAATATTAGACATCTTCTCTTTTCTAAGTGTTATCATAGTAGAACTTGTTGAAATGAAGAGTACAATGGCACAAATGTAAGAGCAATTGAGGGAGTTAATGCTTGTGATGCATCAACTCAATTTACCACTACAAGGAGCAACAAGATTGGCAGGAAGTGAAGATATAGAAATGATTGGAGCTGCTTCAATATCTGTACCAAATCATGTCCTTCATCCTATGATAGAATGCTCTTCCAATATTAGAGAACCAAGAATTGCCCTACTCGAGAAGTTTGATGGCACCAGATCAAAATTTAGAGGATTTATCAATCTAGTACAACTTGTGATTGAACTTCAACCCCAAAGCTATCCAACTCTAGGATCGCAAATTAGATTCATTGATACGCTTCTTTCAAGTTCAACATTATCATAGTTTTCATCTTTTTCTTGAACAATGAAATCTAATATTGGATAATCTAGAGGCTTTTTTGGCAGATTTTTGATCTATGTATAGAAAACATGATACAATTCGTGTTGCAACCAATAAGATTCATATTTTATGATAAGGCAATCGATCAGTAACAATGTATGCTTCACAATTTTGACAACTTACAACTGATATCAAGTGGAATGATGCTGCACTTATTAGCCAATTTTTCTACGGATTATAATATGAGGTAAAAAAATTAATGTTCAATTCACTTGATCTTCAAATATTGAGTCAAGCAATTGACTTTGCTGTGAAGTACGACAATCATCTTTTTGAATTTCGATCTGAGAACCGTACAAGTAGACCTCAACGTAACTATAATTCAATAGCAATACCAACATCTCTTCAACACATACATTCGGAAGTAGAGGATATACAAATTGATGCAATATGTTTCAAACCTCTTATTGAGCAAGAAAAGACTCGTCATCATCAAGAAAGATTGTGCTTATATTGTGGAGAACCTAAGCACACTACTCAATATTGTCCAAAGAAGCGACACAACCATAAAATGAGGTGTACGGCGATCAAAGAAGATAGCATGTCAAAAAATGAATTTGTCTAGCTACAATAGGAACCGTGTGACTGAAACCTTGTACAATACCTAGTGAAGGTTCTATCCTCTCCTCATAACCCTCTCCATATTTTACGACAAATGTTATTTTAGGATCTAAATATCTCAAAGCCTCTGCCTTATTAGATTTAGAAGCCTCAGCATGTTTCTTAGATGAAAAATTTGCTAAAAGACATAGTATATTTTTAGTAAAGAAAACTAAACATGTTCATGTAGAAGTCATAGATGATCGTCCATTGTCTTCAAGAGATGTTATTCATGAAATCCTTCCTATAGAAATAGCAATTAATGGTCATAATAGCTTTATAATATTTAATATCATTAGATCTCTTTCTAATCCAATCATTTTAGATTTATCATGGCAAGAAAAGTATAACCCTAAAATAGATTGGACTTCTCGTAGTCTTGACTTTTCTGAAAGTATAATTAAGAGCATAGTTAATCA